TTTGTGAGGGAGGCAATCAATTGATATGTCTCTCTCATGTTGATGGCGCTCTCTCTCTCTCTCTCTCTCTCTCTCTCTTCCTCCCACTCTATCTGAACAAAAAATGGAAAAATGTTCTCAGGTGAGGATAAAAAAAATAAATAAATAAAATAAAACAGTTATATATCCAGTAGGTTCTTATTTTTCTCTTTTAAACTGTTTATATTCACAGCAATTGTAATTTCAAAAGTTGTATTTGGTATATGAGCAAATCTTTTACATAATATAATTTCCTTAGGAGGAGTGAAGGGATAATGATGAATAAAAGAGGCTTATTAAGGAATGCCAAATGCCTTAGGTATATGTTGGGAAAATTGTTAAAAAGTCAGTGATCTCACGGCAGCAGACAGGCATCCTTAGCAATGACGCTGCTAAACTTGAACTGAGCGGGACTCAGCTCCTCTGGGAAGGCCAGCCGCCAAACTCTCTGCAGGGACAAGTCTGCCAATCGCTAGGCAGACAAATTTTCGAAGATGGATTAAAACGCTCTTCGTGTCTATTGGGATATTGTTTAGAGAAAAAATTAACTATTTGGTGGATCAACTGGAACAGCGTATCAGCATTGGCCCAGGAAGAATCATAATGAGCATAACAATGTAGGAATGGCTCACATGGAAGTGACAGGGATGACTCCTCTCAATTCTGCTCTTCTGCATGGGTCAGAAGGAGACCTTGTGAACAATTGGTGGTGACTCTCCATGACACCTGCCTACTGGCCATATCACAGAAGAGCCAAACTGAGAAGTAGCACCTTTCCTTCCTCCTGGCGTGCAGAAACAAGGGGCAGTGTTTGGATCCCCAGGAAAGGAACTCTCTGGAAATTTCAACTCTGGCTGTATGGATTATTCGGATATAGTCAGACTTTTAAATAGATATGATGCATCAAACAGAAGCAAAAGGAAGAGAAAGGCGGGTGCATAGACTCCACATCTCTTTGAGTACGGCGGTTAAGGATGAGCCCTGAGTCCAACAGAACCCGAGTCAAGCACAGACACTTACTAGTTACATGACTTTAGACAGGATACTTTAGTTCACTTATCTGAGGATTAGTTTACTCATCTTCAAAATAAAAATAGTGATAGTTACCACATAGATATATTAAATAATGTATAGAGTATAATGCATACAGTGCCTGGGATTAGTAAGTGCTAAACAGTATCAATATTATGTTATTATAATATTACTATAGTTAGGCTTCAAAGTAAATTAGGTATTAAAATTAAGATTACATTCTAAAAACCATGTTTATATGATTTTTCTTCCTACAAACTGTATTTATTCTGCAAATGGTAGTGCTGTAATCTGAATAATATTGTTGTGAGATTCATAAGACAATGATAACGTATCTTGCAGTGTTAGTTATGTAGGGGAGCAATGGGGCTCTATGGTATTTATAATACAACAGCAAAATTTAAAGAGCATAAAGCCAAATTTAGCCAGTGTATCGGTGTGTTGGTATAAAACAGGGTGTTAAAGGAAGTCATTGACTTTGCAATTTATTTATTTCCTTAGGAGAACTTAGTCTGAGTCAACGGGTTTCATCACTACACATAGACTTTACCTGCTCAGGGTCCCAAAGAATTCCACCTGATTTATGGCCCATAAAGTAGGGCAGGCTTAATGAGCATCTATATCTGTGCACCCACTTAAAATGATATTGCTGGTCCAACATAAAGTGAGTATCTACCCCACACATGAAAGTAGGTCAATATATATTTATTTCCCCGACATCGTTATTATCTTCACTGATATAAAAATAAAGAACTGTTAATTAATTATTAATTATAAGCCTACAAAAATTATACTTACAGTAAATAAAGGATCAGAAAACAATTTTATTAGGGCACTATTGCAGAAAAAATTCAGAACCGAGTTCATTATTAGCCCATTAGGTTCAATAATTATAAGTTCCTAACACGCATTCTTTATACTATCAAAGTCTACAAGTTCTTATGCCCTATTAAGCATGTTAACTCAATTAATTTTGGATTAAGATTAAAAATTTTATACTTACTGCATAGGTCCAGGTATTTTTTGGCTTAAGAAAAAAAAATTGACGCAGTTTGCCTGGTGTATGATCACATGCCTTATAGAGTTTAAATGAAACTCGTTTGCAGTAATCACAGAAAGACCCGCATTGAAACAGTATGAAAAAGAAGAACTCGTTATTTTTCCTAAAATTATTATTATAAGAATATCTGAATATTGAAGTAGTATCTTTCTCTTAGAAACATAAATGTCTAAATAATTTGTTCTGTGATTCCACAGAGCAAGGTTAGTTCTCCTGGGTCAGATGAACTTAAAGGGAATTATAAGTAAACACAGTTTAAATAGTCAAGAGAAAATTCAGCTGCCTATTTTCTGATTTTAAATATTATCATAAAAAATTTCAGAGATTAAATATGAGTTATACTATGTTAGAATAATGATCGCCCATTTGTAATTAAAAAGCAATAAAATAAAAAATTCACCCAAACGGGTATATAATTTAACAGCAGATAAATACGAGAGGCACACTGCCATCTCCTGCAGTAAGAATCAGTAGCCATTCTGTTCACTGGGGAAAGAGTATTTAATATTAGTCACATGCGAAACATATACATAAAACACTTCTCAGCAGAGAGACTGCTAAGTAGTTTATATTCATTGCACTGAATTTCTCTTTCTTCCCAAATTTATGCCCTTTGTCAGTGTTTACAAACATTTATTAGTGGTACTGCTACTCTCTCATTTCCCAAATTCTAAACGTTAGACTATCCTATGTCTCCTCTTCCCCAAGTGCTGGGCATTCGGGTGTGAACAGCTCACTTTTTTTTTTTTTTTTACAGTGATGTAGTCTGCAACATATTTCGACCAATAAGCTCAGTAAAATATCTACTGCACATCCATTACTTAAAAGGAAGAAACAGTTTCTTCAGAGAGATGAACTTACTGAGAGCTACGTAGAAACTGACTGAAGCAATTAGGACAAGAATCATAATGGGTCGAGCCTCAGATCATTCATGTTAGCACGATTCCTCGTCTGTTTCTGTTGATTTTACTTTCCCAACATTCCTCACAGCTGTTTCAGCTACCTCTTCCTTTGATGTGTCTTTTATTGCCCTTGCAGTGATGTCTTAACTTTATGTTTTGCAGTCAGGCTATACACTACTACTGCTAGCTTATGCTTCTGAACTGTTCTTACCGCACCCAACCCTCTGCCCCAAATTTTCAAAGACCACTTTTCACAAAATCATGTCTAAATGCCTTAGTGCTATGATCTGAGTGTCCCTGAAAAATCAGTATATTGAAATCCTTACCCCCCAAAGTTGATGATATTTGGAGCCTTTGGGAGGTTCTTATATAGAGGGTGGAGCCCTCATGAATGGCATTAAAGTTCCTTTTTTGTTTTGTTTTGTTCTATAATAGCATTCTTTACTATTTACTGTTGCGGCATTTATTTACTTATTTACTTATCTATATTGTTGACACCATTACAGATGTCTCCATTCCCACGGCTCCTCTTTGCCCACCTCCACCCAACTCCTGCCTCCTTCTCTCTGGCCAGCACCACACTGTTGTCTGTGTCTATGGGTTATGCATATATGTCCTTTGGCTAATCCCTTCACCTTCTTTCATCCAGAACCCCTCACCCTCCTCCCCTCTGACAGCTATTAGTCTGTTCCATGTATCTATGCTTCTGTTTCTATTTTGTTCATTAGATTCCACATATAACTGAGACCATATGGTATTTTCTTTCTCTGACTGTTTTATTTCACTTAGCATAATAATCTCCAGGTCACAAAAGGAAATCTTTCTTTTTCACAGCTGCATAGTATTCCATTGTGTAATTGTATCACAGCCTTTTTATCCACTCATCTACTGATGAATACTTGGACTGTTTCCAGATCTTAGCTATTATAAATATTGCTGTTATGAACATGGGGGTACATATATTCTTTTGAATTGGTGTTTTGGGATTAGAGTTCTTATAAAAGAGTCCCCACAGAGATCTCTCACCTCTTTCACCATGTGAGGACACAGTGAGAAGTCACCAGCTGTGAACAAAAAAGAGGGCTCTCACTAGAATGCAACCAGGTTGGCATCTTGATGTTAGTCTCCAGAACTGTGAAAAATAAATTTATTTTGTTTATAAACCACCCAGTCTGTGGTACTTTCTCATGGAAGCCCAGATAAACTAAGATACTTAGTTGGGTATTCATGGCCATCTGTGATCTACAGAAATGGAATTCCTGCTTATGTATGTATTCATTCAGTCAGTCAGTCAACAGATATTTACTAAGTTCCTATTGCATATCAGATATTTTGCCAGGGAATGCTAAAATGAATAAGACACAGTCTGGTCTTATTCATCAAGGAGCTCATTGTTCAATAGCTTTCTTTAATTGCATATGCAAAGAAAAATATTCTACAGGGGTAAATTTGATTGTTTTACAGGGATCTTGTCAGAAGAAAGTTAAGAATCATGTAGACAAATACATATACTACAAGCACTTGTTTTGTTTTGTTTTTATCCTCACCTGAGAATATTTTTCCACTTTTGTTCAGATAGAGTGGGAGGGAGAGAGAGAAAGAGAGAGAGACAGAGAGAAATATCGACATGAAAGAGACACATTGAGTGGCTGTCTCCTGTATGACCCTAACCAGGGGTGGGGACAAATCACAACTGAGGTACTTACCCTTGACTGGAATTGAACACATGGCTCATTGGTTTGTGGGCGGACATACCAACAACTGAGCCAAACCAGCCAGGGCTAAGCACTTGATTTGTACTGATGCCTAATTTACATAGGATAGGACCAGATTCAAATAATACTTCAATAATCTTTGAATTACATAACTATTTACTCAAGTTCAAGTAAGTGCCTTTATATCTGATGATCTTGCTAAACTGTACAGATCTACTAAGTACCATTTAAATAGAAAGAGAGATTAAAAGTGATTTTTAAATGATAACTTACCAGGAGATAGAACGTTTTCTGTGTTTCTTTGGGTTCGTCCAATCAGGACAGTGGTAACATTCACTGCTGATTTCTTAAGTGCATTGGGTTTCTTCAGCAATGATTTTACTTGCTTCTGAGACTTGAAAAAATTTGCAAGCCTACTAGACAATGATTGATTTATATACCAAGTTAAATTAGATAGAGCAATTTGAGTTTTTATTTCAATTACTGATTCTACAAATTCTCTAAGACCTTCCTGAAGAAGCTGAGCATCTTGTAGGGAACCATTTATCCACTTAGGTATGGTAGCATTCAGTTTTGAGATGCGTGCAGAAGCAGTATGACACATCATTACAGTTTCATGGAGAGTTTTGTTAAGTAAAGAAAAGTTAATTGAGAGATGAATAGATTTTTCTTCCAGTGCCTTGAATCTAGAATTCAATACCTGCAGTTGAACAGCCTGGTCTCTCCTATTTGTGGCCACACTGCCTCTTTGTAGTGAAACATAAGGTATGAGCATCTTGGTCACTTTAGACTCAATGTCATGCAACCGAATTTCAAAATTTTTTGAAATCTTTGTGGCTGAGAGCATTTTTTCCTCCAAAAGACTAATATTTTTCTGGTATTTTATCAGCTGGGAAGTGGTTTCATTGACTATTTGGTAAATCGTTTGAAAGTTGAACTGACTTAGTTCTCCACCTTTAAGAATATCTGCAAGGGCCTTGGCAACTTGCAAAACAAAGTCATATCTCTGATTATCATTCACTAAATCCTGAATAGAATCATTCAAATGTTGGAATTGAGGAATAAATGTCAAAATAGTTTCCATATTTTGGCTACAATTATCATAGTCCTTGGGACTGCACTTTATTGTACTTAAAGTTTCTTTTAACATGTAGTTATCCTGAATGAAATCAACTGCATTATTTATGATAGTCATTGTCTTATTTAGGCCATCTTCCATTTCTAAGGTATGTTCATTGATACGTCTATCTAAGGCATCACTTTGACTCTGTACTTCATTTCTAAGTAAGTTATGTCTTTTGGTAAGTTCTCTGATAAGAGAATTTAGAACATTGACAGCACTAGTTAGACTTTCCACTTTTTTCCTTGTTGCTTTTGCTTCTTTTGGTTGTTCTATTCCCTGCTCAAGCAAGGGTTGAAGGATCTCCATATCATAAGTCAAATCATTTAGTTGCTCATTCATTTTGTCCATTTTATTGTCCATGGGAAAGAGAACCTCAGCCAATGTTTGGTTTAAAACTTGTAAATTCTCTTCTGCATCCTTAATTTGAAATTTAAAATCATTTCTGCACTTTGATACCATGTCTTTACATTCATTCCTGAAAAATTCTTTCTCCATTTCCAAAGTGATGGTGAGGTTGTTAATCTTGCTGTCTTGGATGTGCAAATCATCGAACATCTGCAACATCATCAAATCTTGCCTCCTTATATTCTCATAAAGAGTAGACAGGTACTCAGTGACATTATTGCTAACTGATTCTGCAGCTGGAACACTGTTCTGATGTGATACTTGTTGAGTTGACAAAAGCTGTTCATGTACTTCCTTCATTTTCAAAAGAGTCTTATTGAGGGATTCATAATACAGAATGTTCCTTGAGTCCTGCAATTCTAGAGCATCTTCTAAATGAGTCTGCTTTGCTTCTAGTTCTTTAATAGGCTTCTCGCATGTAGAATTCATTTCTTGTCTTATATTCACAATGTGATTTTTTAGATCTATTATATCAGTCAAAGTGGGCCTATTTTCTTGCATTAAAACAGACTTTTGTTGGATTGCTATTGACACCATCGATTCATTAACTTGCTGAATTGTGTGCTTGGTGTCTTCAAGGTCCTCAGATAGCTTTGATACAGTCTTGAAGAGCTGTGCTATGGTCTCTTCCATGTCATTTTGGAAAATTTTAAATTGTTGTCTAACTATGTCCTTTACCAGCTCATTAATGCTTTTGGATTTTAGACCTAGAGAAAGAAGTAATAAACAACAATAAATAACACATTATTTTAACTATGAAAACTTTAAATATCTCTAAAAAGATAAAAAAAAATTGAGGCCAAACACTAATAACATATAGTAATAAAAATACTTTTTGACTACACTTATGGAATTTTTAAAATTTCTATAGTTTATAGATGGTAGTCACTTTCTTAATTCATAAGTCTGAAGAGAGAAATCTGTTGTGGTGTGGAACACACCAGAACCATCAATCTAAGTTTCTCTGGACAGAAGACATGTGGGATCCACAGCTGTCTTCATTAACAGACTCCTGCATGCAATGATTCTAGATCTAGTCTTAGTCTTGTATGCAAATAAATAGCTTTGGGCTTTCTGCCTTAGTAAATAATACCTAATGTTAAGTCATGATTATGTTACTAGGTTTCTAGTAATTAAATTTCAGAGCCTGTGTTTTGAGCTAATAAAAATGAATACATTGACTACAGAGAAATAATTTTATGAGATTCTCAAATGAGGAACAATATAAAGTAATAGTCATAATATTCAACAATAGTTTATAATAGTGATAACATAATAATAATGAGAGGTTTGGAGATCACTAAGTCAAATGAAAACAGAAATTTAAGATCTACCTTAATTATTATAATATGACATTCATTCTTAACCAAAAAAAAAAAAATAAAGAGAGAGAAGAGGCCACTTCCCACTAATGAAGCACATAATAGTATCTCCAGTATTAGAAAGCATGAACTGATCATAAGCCAGAATAGTGGATAGTTCTAAAAGTAGCATTAAAAAAAAAAGAGAGAGTCCTGCACTATTCAGAACTATTTAGAATAGAAAATGAATACTTTAAAATGTAAAAATTCAAAACAAAACAAAATGAAACAAAAAACCTGTTACAAAAAAACAGAAAACAAGAAAAAATAAAACATGCTTAAGGCAAATTTATTATACACATTAAGCACATACAAATGGAAGGTATGACCATTCCAAAACATAATATGAAGAATTTTAAACAACTAGGTCTGAGCATTGGGATATTAAATGAGTTATAGCTACTATGAAGTCTATTTAAGAAAGATGATTATAGGGCTAAAATATATAGTCTCTACATGCACATATTTTATTAGCAAGTTTCTAAAAGTATTTAAGATGCATAAAAGACAGAAAGAGTATTATGAAGGAGCAACTATACTGAATAGAATGATGTATTGCTTGAGCATCTTGATATTATTTAATCTGGTACTAAGACAAAGCTATAAAATTGTTTACATGAATAAATGTTTTATATTTTTCTGGAAATTCTACACCTAAAGATCAATCCTATTATTGATCTTTAGGGTCTAGGATTTATAAAGAAAAAAAAATTGTACATTTCTAAACCTAGTGAAATCTGAAATACATTTCAAAAGCAAAAACAAAAAGAAACAAAAAAACAAAGTCAGCGAAAATTAATTTGTACATAATAGGAAAAAAATATAAAGACTGCAACAGTATTCAATGACATATAGCAGCAAAGTACTAAGGAAAGGCTAAATTAATTAGAAAAGATTACGATCATTCAAAACAGCCTGGAATCAAGCTGAATGGAAGTCCTACAACTACGGAATTAAAGCAGCAGCCACATCAAGACTGGTAGGAGGGGTGGCAGCGACGGGCTGGTCCCACACCCAAGTGTGGTAGATAAAAATTAGGAGGTCACCTCCCACACCAGGTGCCCCGCTCAGGGTTCCAGTGCCAGGAAGAGAATCCCCATAAATTCTGGCTGGAAAAACCAGCGGGAACTGAGGCTCAGGGAGGCTGAGGAGGCTGGAGCCCCAGGTTGCTCCTAAAGGGCCCGCGCATGGACTTATCGGACTCTCTCCCTCTAAGCTTGGAGGGGAGGCAGCTCGAGGGGCGCCAGAGACATACAGGGAAGAACTGAGCTGTTTGTCATTGGAGTGAGGGCTGGAGAGGGGGCTATCTCCCGGATAAATGTGCTGTCAGAGGCCTTTGCTCCTTTGGTGAGCCCTTCTCTTGGGCGGCAGACAGCCACCATATCTGGGACTCCAGCAACCTGGCTCACACTATTTGCCCTGCCCTGGTGATTCCCTGAGGCCCTGCCCCACCCAACTTGCAGGCCCACCCAAGCTGTTGCCAGTTGCTTTATCATAGGATTGGCCTGTCTTGGATCCTGCTTCAGGTTTTCCTAAATTCTTTCAAACCACCAGCATCTGGTCTCAGATAGCCCCATACCTCTTGTTAAGTAATACATAGAAACAAACACAGAGAGGCAGCCAAAATGAGGAGACAAAGAAATAGGTCCCAAATGAAAGAACAGAAAAAATCTCCAGGAATAGAACTAAGCGAAATGGAGATAAGCAACCTAACAGATTCCGGGTTCAAATACTGTTTATAAGGATGCTCAATGAACTTAGTGAGAACCTCAGCGAACTTAGTGAGGGCCTCAAGAGCATAAAAAAGGACCAGTCAGAAACGAAGGAGGCACCAATTGAAATAAAGAATAATTTACACAGATTCAATAGTAGAGTAGGTAAAGCCAAGAAGCAAACCATTGATTTGGAATATAAGGAGGCAAAAAACACCCAATCAGAACAGCAAAAAGAATCCAAAAAAATGAAGATAGTGTAAGGAGCCTCTGGGGCAACTTCAAGGGTGCCAACAGTCACATCTTGGTGGTGCCAGAAGGAGAAGAGGGAGAACAAGAAATTGAAAACCTATTTGAAACAATAATGGCAGAAAACTTCCCTAACTTGGTGAAAGAAACAGACATACAAGTCCAGGAAGCACAGAGAGTCCCAAACAAGATGAACCCCAAGAGGCCCACACCAAGACACATCATCATCAAAATGCAAAAAGTTCAAGACAAGGAGAGAATCTTAAAAGCAACAAGAGAAAGGCAGTTAGTTACCTACAAGGGAGTTTTCATAGACTGTCAGCTGATTTCTCAAAAGAAACTTTGCAGGCCAGAAGGGGTGGCAAGAAATATTCAGAGTGATGAAAAGCAAGAACCTACAACCAAGATTACTCTATCCTGCAAAGCTGTCATTTAGAATCGATGGCCATATCGATTCCCAGACAAGAGCTTCCCAGACAAGAAAAAGCTAAATGAGTTCATCACCACCAAACCATTATTATATGAAATGTTGAAGGGTCTTTTTGAAGAAAAAGATAAAATATATGAACAAACAAAATGTCAATGAATACATATCTATCGACAATGGTATCTATAAACAAAATGAACAGGCAGAACAGAAACATTCTCATAGATACAGAGAACATTTTGTTGGTTGCCAGATGGGAGGGGGGTTGGGTGAATGGGTGAAAAAGGTGAAGGTATTAAGAAGAACAAATTGGTTGCTAGACTGACAAACCTCAAAGAGAAGGGGGACTGGGGGGGTGGGAAGAAATAAACCAAAGAACTTACATGCATAACCAATGGACACAGAGAACAGTGTGGGAAAAGGTGGGCGGGGGACGAGGGGGTCAATGGGGGAAAAATGAGGAACATCTGTAATACATTCAACAATAAAGATTTTTTAAAAAATTTACAAAAAAGATTACATAGCCACAATTAAGATAGATTATACTGAAACACTTCTAGCTTTTGTATTTTTAGTCTCCAAATTATACCATTTAACCAGTCACCCATTTATAAAACACATTTTTATTGAGTACATTCTATATGCTACAGAGAAAATGAAATTTGAAAAATTAAATTTCTAATATTAAAAATAAAATGTTAGTCTCACTGAGTGTAGGTGCTTCTCAACAGCAGTTATTTTTATTAGATTATTTAGTTATGTCCTGTTTGTTAAAATTATCTTTCGTTCTCATTACAACAACTTGATGAAATACAATTAAATACTTAAAGCTAGAAACCAGACCTGGCCGGTTTGGTTCAGCGGTTAGAGCGTCAGCCTGCGGTCCACAGAGACCCGGGTTCGGTTCCCGCTAAGGGCACGTACCTTGGCTATAGTTTGTCCCCGGCCCTGATTGGGTCGTGTGGGTGGCGGCCACTCGATGTGTTCCTTTCACATCGATGTTTCTCTCTCTTCCTCTCTCTCCTTCCCGCTCTATCTGAGTAAAAAATGGAAAAATGTCCTCGGGTGAGGATTAAAAAAAAAAAAGCTAGAAACCAGACTTTTTTGAAAATTATATTCTTATAATTTTGGCTTTAAAATGTTGTTCAGGATTGCAAAGGTAATGGAAAACTTAAGCATGCTTGAATTAATTAATGAATTACTGTGGACAGTAACAATAGGTGTTTAATTTCAGAAAGTGAAAAACTTTTGAAAGTCTGAATAAGATTAATAGGTAAAAACACTGGTCCTGGCCAGTTTGGCTCAGCAGTTAGAGCGTGTACCCGCAGACCAGAGAGGCCCGAGTTCGGTTTCCACTGTGGGCATGTACCTCGGTTGTGGTTTGTCCCTGGCCTTGGTTGGGGTCATGTGGGTGGCAGCCACTCGATGTGTCCCTCTCACATCAATGTTTTTCTCTCTCTCTTCCTCTCTCTCTCCCTCCTTCTATGTCTGGGGATAGATGCAAAAATGTCCTTGGGTGAGGATAAAAAAATAAAAAAAAGATAAAATCACTGTAAATAGGTAAAGTTTAGTACAGAATCTTCATCAAAGTAATGAAGAAAAAAGTAAACTATGAAAATGAAAATTAGAAGAAACCTTAGCTGTTATTTAATGGAAAAATATATTAGGTAAAGGGTAAAATTACAGTAATGTCTGAAAGAAATCAGATTATCACCACCAAACCATTATTATATGACATGTTGAAGAGTCTTCTTAAAGAAGATAAAAAATATGAACAATAAAATGGCAATAAATACATATGTATCCACAATTGAATCTATAATCAAAATGAACAAGCAGAACAGAAACATTCTCATAGATACAGAGAACTTTTTGTTTGTTGCCAGACTGGAGTGGGGGAGGGTGGGTGAAAAAGGTGAAGAGATTAAGAAGGGATCAACAACAAATTGGTTGTTAGACTGAGGAACCTCAAAGGGAAGGGGAGGAGTTGGGAAGAGATAAACCAGAGATAAACCAGTGATACCTCGGTTCTCAAACATAATTCGTTCCAGGAGGACGGTCGAGAACCAAATTGTTCGAGAACCGAAGCAATGAAACCCAATAGGAAATAATGGAAACTGGATTAATTCATTCCAAGCCCCAGAAAATGCCTATTTACTGGCCTAATTTGTATATAATATGTAGAAAAACATAAGTCTGAACAAGAAATAAAAGTGTACAGTATGTCTAAGGGTTAAATTCAGTGTAAAGCGTGACTCTCTCCACAAAGTGTGACTCCACAAAGCGTGACTCTCTCTCTGCACTCACACTGATGACGCAAGCAAGGTGCGCTGGGCCGAATGAACGCCATTCGGCTCAACTCGGCTCATCTCGGAAGTTCGAGTTCCAAATATTTGTTCGGATTCCAAGACAAAAGTTTCTCGAATCTCCTGGTCGAATACCGATTTGGTCGAAATTCGAGGCGTTCAAGAACCGAGGTATCACTTGTATATGCATATATGCATAACCAATGGTCACAGACAATACTGTGGAGAAGGCAGGAGGGGGGCAGAGCAGGGAGGAGCAGGTCAATGGGAGAAAAATGGGGGACATCTGTAATACATTCAACGATAAAGATAAGTTTAAAAAATGTATAGAAATATATAAACTTATTTCAGGATAAGAAGTTTTTATTTGTTTGTTTTTAAATCCTCACCCAAGGACATGCTTAGAGAGGGGGAGGGAGAGAGAGAAACATTGATGTGAGAGAAACAACCAACGGTTGCCTCCCATACAGGCCCCAACTGGGGACAGACCCAGGTAATGTGCCCTGACAGGTAGTCAGACCGGCACCTTTTAGTGCACAGGACAACACTCAACCAGCTGAGACCCTACACCTGGGCACAGGATAAGAGGCTTTTCAGGTAACATTTCTATCATTTTTGTTTTGTTTTGTTTTTTTGGTTATTCCTTACCCTTTTTTTTTTTTTTTTTCAGATAGAGAGTAAGGGAGGAAGAGAGTGAAAGAGAGAGAGAGAGAAATATCGATGTGAGAGAGACACATGGATTGGTTGACTCCCACAAGATCCCGAAAAGGAAAGGAATCAAACCTGCAACCTAGCCCTGGCTGGTTTGGCTCAGCGGTTAGAGCTTTGACTTGTGGTCCAGAGATACTTGGGTTCAGTTCCTGCTAAGGGCAGGTACCTCAGTTGTAGTTTGTCCCTGGCCCTGGTTGGGTCGTGCGGGTGGCAGCCACTGGATGTGTTCCCTTCTCTCTATGTCTCTCTCTCTTCCTCGTCTCCCTCCCACTCTATCTGAACAAAAAATGTCCTCGGGTGAGGATAAAAAACAAACAAACAAACAAACAAAAACCCTGCAACCCAGATACGGTGCCCTTGACTGAGATCGAATCCTCGATCCCTCAGTTTGCAGGCTGACACTCTAACTGCTGAGTCAAACTGGCTAAGACATTTCTTTAATTTCTTACCAAAGAAACATCTGTGCAAGAATCCGATTTTGCAAAAATACCTATAAATGCTTCATGTTGATATCTGAGTGGGCACATCATTTTAAGCCTATTTGATTCTGTTTCATATGACTCATGTGCTTCTATTTCCTAAAAATGATGATATTACATTTGTTGACTTAACAGATATATTTGATATTGGACACCTTGACCTGCCCCTTCTGTGCAGCCTATTCATAATGTTCAGATACCTCTAAAGGAGGTGAGGCATTTATTTTGAACACTTTCCATGGCTACTAGCAGAAGAGAAGAGATTGGTTTTGCTAGACAAGCATAGTTCCCGAGAGAGTGAGTTTAGTTTTTGTTGCCTTTACCGACATTCTTTAACTATAAGCCCTTTGATTCTCATAATTGATTGTGCTCAGTACACAATTAAAGTCTCCTAATGGGGAGGTAGTTGTGTTGTTGTTAAGAGTATACGTTTCCTTTGTCACTGCCAGAACTTTTGTTAGTGGAACAGGTGACAGGCTTAATTCTCTCAGGTTATAATAACCACATTTTGCTAAACAAATTTCATTATGGTGGCAATAGTCAATTATATGGTGTTTCTATTTGACTTGTTGTTCCTGCTGTTACTTCAGGGAAAATGTAGCCCTCTCTCATGCTTGTCGTAAGTAAGTTTTGGCCATAGGGGACATGCCAGAAACGTAGAACAGGGTGTTTCAGTGGCTTACTAGCCCCAATTATTTACATGATTAAAAACAATCATGGCTGTTACTATACTGACAGATGATATGGAAATAGAAACCTCCACCTTTTCAAAAAAATCCTCACCAGAGGACATTTTTGTATTTATCTTCAGACAGAGTGGGAGGGAGAGAGGGAGGAAGAGAGAGAGAGAAACATCGATGTGAGAGAGACACATCAATTGGTTGCCACCCGCACAATCCCAATTGGGATCGGAGACGAACTGCAACCAAGGTATGTGCCCTTAATGGGAACAGAACCCAGGACTCTCTGGACAACAGGCCCACACTTTAACCACTGAGCAAACTGGCCAAGGCAGAAACCTCCACCTTTTTGAAAAATCTTTTACCTGTAAACCACAGGTGAAAATACAAAAACAATTTGTGAGTGATAGAAATGGGTTTGTCCAGTGAGTACTTTTTTATTTACAGAACAAAGTGAAAGAGACCAATAATCTTATAGCTTGGAAACAAACAATAAAGCCAGTGAATTCAGATGTTACTAGTAACCAAAATACTTTCCTAGACTATCTATGCTCTCCCTGAAATCCCTTTGGCTAATTAATTCCTCCTGATCCATCGATTATTAGTTGAGGTGGTTTCTCTTCAAAGAAGCTTTCCCTGGTCTCCTTCTTCTGGATTTGTTGAAACTGTCAATCAGACACCATTGTACCATGCACTGAAACTACCAGGGCAATGACTCCCTGTTCATAAATCTCTGGCAGGCAGAATAATTCTGGCCTGTCCAAGATGTCCACACCCTAATTCTCTGAACCTGTGAACATGTTATCGTACCTGGCAAAAAGGCCTTACCAGATGTGATTAAGGTTAGGAACCTTGAGATGAAGAAATTATACTGGATTATCGGGTGAGCCCAATGTAATCATATGAGTCCTTGAAAGAGGCAAGAGGAGGCAGAAAAATGGGTCTGAGATGTTAGGAGGACTCAACAGCTGTTGTGGGCTTTTGAAGATGGAAAAAGAAGGACAAAAGGCAAGAAGTGCAGAGGCTTCTAGAAGCTGGGAACAAGCCTCAGTTTAGAGCCACCAAGTAAACTGGACCTCTGTCCTACAACTGCAAGAAAATGAATTCTGACCATTTGAATGAGCAGGAAATAGATTATCCCATAGAACGTCCAGGAAGAAACACAGCCTGCTCTTGTGTGTGTGTGTGTGTGTGTGTTTATCCTCACCTGAGGACATGTTTGCATTTATCTTCAGACAGAGCAGGAGGGAGAGAGGGGGGAAGAGAGAGAGAGAAACATCGATGTGAGAGAGACACATCGACTGGTTGCCACCCACACAACCTCAACCAGGGTCGGGGACAAACTGCAACCGAGGTATGTGCCCTTAGTGGGAACCGAACCCAGGACTCTCTGGTCCGTGGGCCAATGCTCTCGCCGCTGAGCCAAACTGGCCAGGGCCAGCCTGATATTTTAAGAGCTTAATATTCAGACAATGCTGATTCACATTTATTTAAAAAAAAAAAAAATTTCCTCTGATCTGTTTTAGGATCTATTTTATTGATTATACAGCAGGAGCTAGATAATTTCTGGAATAATAACACACTTTAGATTTATCCTCAATACCTTCATCAGTATTATTGAGACCACCATGTATCTAGTAGATACCTTATTAATTATTCCTTAACTTTATCTTTATCCTGAACTGAAAACCACAATGAACATAAATTAAATATGGCTCTTAGTTAAATTTCTTTTAACTATAAAGAAATACCAGGTAGGCTATAACTAGGTACATAATGTCAATAAATCAGATGAAATATTCAAAGACTTGACTACATTGTGAAAAATACTTAGATATTCCAAATTATTTCAGATATTAAGTGATTTAAAAATAGCTTATTAAAAAATATCGGTATTAGACTAATACCCTACCCAACCTAAAGCACAGATACCAAAGTGATAATGAGAAAAGATGTTATTTGCCTTTTGCCTTAACTAAATTAATAATTTATTTTGTTTTACTTTCTTACCTTTTAGAAAAGATTGACATTCCCTGCCTTTATTTTCATCGATTTTCTCTTCTAGGGAGGAGTATGTGTTCCTTACATCAGTTACAGCCAAAGAAATGTTGTCAATCTTCTTCTGCAGAAGGCTCAGTTTCATTGCCTGGTTGTTCATCTGGTCAGTCATTTTTTGAATCACTGCTGTATGAAGGAGGGAACATTGGGAACATTAAAAAACACATATTTAAAACTGTTCCAATTTTATAATAGGTTTGAAGGTTATTTAAATAAATCATGTTTGCACTACATATTTAAAGGTATAGGCTATATGCATTTAGCAAATGGAAACCTGCATTTTACACTATTTAGGGTAGAAATCTGAAAAGGTATTATATTAGCTTAGATTGCTAAAATCTTTTAACTATGCTCAGAATTTTCAAGGGTGTTTGTTGGTGTTGTTATTTTACCTAAAAGAGTTTTTGTTATAATCTCAATAGACGAAGAAATTCAGGGTCAGAAAACCAAAATAACTTGCTAAAGTTTACAGAGCTAATGCTTTATTTTCTGCCTTCAAATCAATGCTCCAGTATTAGATATGTGTAGTTGTATACTTATATGCATATAGATGTATTTAATTATAAGAATTTTATTCTTTATAGAGGTATTCTTTATTGAGAGATAGATTTCAGTTTAATTCTCTTATATAGCAATGCTACTTTTCATGCCTTTCAAATGTAATTCAATAATTCAAGGAGAATTCATTTTATGAAGATACTGAATTTCAATTCCTTAAAAAAAATCTTAGAGTACAGTTATTAAGATATATTCACCTCCATTCTTAAAGAGGTCCCCTGAAGTCACATTTCTTAATTTGAGAGCCTGATTTTGTATGGTGATGCCAAATACAGTAGAGATGTTTTTATCAGTAACCAACCTGTGTTTCTAAGCGGTAAAGTGAAGCCTAAAAGAAATGGTATTTATGATTGGGAAGATGAGAATGCATGTAATAGGACAACTTTGGATCAACAGGAGATTCTTGCTGGTTCCTAGTCAGGGTACCTTTCTTTGGTCAGTGATCAACACCCCTTAGTGATCTCTATCTCCAATGGAAGGAAGCCTTCTTAGCTCCCTTGAAGGAACCGAGCCCTTCCTTTCATGACTGCACTCTTTGCAGGACAAAAGTCTGATTTTATTTTGTAAACCTGTGATTTCCTTATAACCTAATATGGCAACATTTTTATTCTCCTGCTGTGTTTGCACACAGAGCTTCAGCAATTACACACGGTCCCTTCGGCGGGGAACCTGCCGCTCTCCTGCAGATTCTCCCAACGTGCAGCCCCAGTGGAAAGGGTTCAGAGGGATGTCAATGTGTCATCAACAGACTTTGACAGCCAAGCGATTTCTTGTTTGGACGTTGTCGTAAATGGCGCTGACAATAACTGGATTGGTGGTGGCAGTAATTACAATCTGTGACCTGAGTTACCAGAGTCTTCCTGCTGCTGTTGGGGCTGCTGCTGGGCTGTCCCTCCGCCGACAGCTGCGTGACTCTCAGCCTGGAGAGCGTGCAGCACCTGCTGCTGTTCCTGGGCTAGACAGAAGCAAAAAGAGAGGAGAGAGAGTTCAACACTGGGGCTGCCTCATTTTTCCAGTCCTGAGCGATAATGAGGCTGACATTCATTTTCCCGTCTACTGAAGCTTGCAAGCCGCGAGCACGGCGGAGAAGGCTGCTCCGCCCCCGTCCACAGGGGAGGTGCCGCGCTGATCTTGGAAGTGCAGGGCTCTAATTGTGTTCTGTAGGAAAATCAGGTCTCCTTTTAGACGAAAATGGTGGGTAGTTTGGAGAAACGTAAACTGGCAGGCATAAACTGCCTGCATAATTGAGAGGACTTTACCATCAGCTGTGTTAAAAGCTATGGCAGTTTTAGAAGCTGTCTGTCACAAAGGCTGCCTGTTTAGCAATACAATTTCCAACTGGTATCTACTTGGGACTAAAGGAGGTACAGATTCTTCCCTGAAAGAATATCTGTTTAAGTAATAGTGCCACTTAAACGGGTTTCTCCCAGATCATTAAGAAACACATAGGCTCAAAGCATAACAACTACAAATAAAAGTAAACTATTACAGGACACGTCTCAAAAGAATCAACCGGCAAAATCAGTAAAATTTTAGAAAAACAGCAAGTTGTATGAAATAAACCTGTTAAAAAATTTCTTCTCATTTCCCATGAATTAATATTTTAAATGACCATATAATTTTTCATTGGGGAAGACCATTTAAAGGACGACATTAACACATTGAACATACTAAGTAATGTGTGTTTGTAATTTTCAGACTTCTAATGGCAAATGTATTCAGATATGAGAAAACACATCTTTGGCGTCTATACTTCTTCCTGTGTGAAATTATGTGCCAATGGCTCTGCAGCCCTGGCACCTGGTAGTTTTGCTTTCTAAGGCCCATGTGGGTGTGACAATAATCCCAAAGCATCTCCACTCTATAGAAAGTATAATGTATTTGGCACTAATTTGAGTTAGTCTCAATTATTAGATTGAATTTTGCATTGCTTTTCTTTAGAGCATTGACCTAAATTAATAAATATCCATTCATGTCCAAGGTTTTTGTTTCTCTTTTTGTTGTCCCCCTGCCCCTCCTGCTGCTGTATTATAGAAAGTCCGACATAATTGTTGATTTATTTGGTTGAAAAAAACAATCTTCAGCTTGGGAAAAAGTGTACTTATTTGGGGGCTGCAGTATGCAGCGGAAAGCAGTGTTATTTTTCTGCTAAGTCTTAGCAATAAAATTCTTATGGCCTAAATTCAAATTAATTCATACAAATATATTCATTAAACAACTACATAACATTTTTAAATCAATATTCCTTTTTAGGTGACGTGATAAAACATTGTTGGGGCAGCTAAAATCTTCCTACCCAAGAGGGTACTTAGAGCAATGGTTCTCAAACCAGGCTCCCTAAATGAGGCACATCAGAATCACTTGGGAACTCATAATATGCAACTTCTAGGCCTCACCCCACACCTGATCTTATAAAAACCTCTGAAGTAGGGCAGCAATCTGTGGTTTAACTAGCTCTCCAGGTGATTTCAATGCATGCCAGGATGAGAACCACTGGAGTAGGGTGCAAAGATTCATCTCCCTTCGCACCTTCTCATCTCATTACCTTCCCTGTTTCTCTTAACACTGAGAGTGTTCAGGATATAGACTTGTAAGTATTTACAGAAAAAGGAACAGGTGGGTTTAACAGGATGAACAAATGGTCTTTTCATGTGTTTACTGGTTACTTTTTTGAGCTAGATTACAGGAATACAAAAAGCTGCTGCATTAAAAAGCATAGCATCACTGATAGGCAGCAGATACTCTGTTAGGGAGCAATGCACAATTATAGTAAAAACAGACTGTGTTGTTGTGTGGCATATAAGAAAGGTTACTAAGAAGATCTTTTCTATCATTAACTTTCAATATGGTGTTTTAAAAACATTTCTTTAGAACAGTGATTTTTCATCATGGATGGAGATCAGAAACACCTGTAAACTTTGAAACACTATACAAGCCAATGCCCTTTTCATTCCCCCACCCGAAGTTTCTGACTCAGTAGATCTGTTCTGGGGAATTGAGCATATGTATATACATATTTTTAAACTCTACAGGTAATTTTGAGGTATGACCCTGCTTCAGAACCATTGATTTAGAACAAATCCCCAAATTTTCTAATTCTAATACGTAAACTCATTGTTTAAAATACAATACTTTTATATTAAAATTGCAACCCAGAAATTGATCTTCATAGATTTTTAGGCAGCCACACACACTTGTTGATAACAAGAGCATATTTTAAAGACATGCTTTATTATTTGTGGAATATAATGAACATAACAGTCTGAGGAATGGGGTAGTCCCAGAGACGTGAAAGTAGGGTACAGACTGACAATCCCCAGAAGAGGGGGTGATGGGGGAGCGATAAACCACAGAACTTATATGCATGTATGCATGAACAATGGGCATGGACAACAAACTGGGGAAAGGGCAGGGAGGGAGAGGGAGGGGGGAAAAGGAGAAACATCTGTAACAAAAATTAATTAATAAAAAAAGAAAAGAAAAATAAATAAATAAAATCAAACCTGAAAAAACAGAAAAAACAAAAAAACTCCAATGAATGTAAACCCGGAGTCTCTTACCACTCCATGGCGAAGTGAGTCTTTACAAGGAACAAGTGAAGTAGGGCGGGGTGAAAGGTGCTGGTCACAGCTCCATGATTCCTTCACACAGATAATTGTATGCTCTCTATTGTTATGACACAGGCTCCCTGAGTAGCTTCCGCTAAGTCTGGACGCCTCTGAAGAGTGTTTGAGCCACCTTCCCACAATCAAATTTAGAGCCCATTGACAATTTTTTAATGTCTCAGAAATAAAAGACCCTTTCCATTAAAAATCTAGGCTATTATCCTCAATCCCACCTACAATGTTCTACACCTCCTACCTCCAAGATTATATTTAGTCAGGATGCTCTAATGCGGCCTACGAATTATTAAAATATTGAAGTACAGCCATATCTGTTGGCAAATATATAATAATAAAGTGTGATAACTGATAAATTAGCTTTAATAATTGTAAAATTAACTTATCCCGAGTTAATTGTGGATGCATAATAAAGGATATGTCTGGTAGAATACTTGATGAATGGAATTCTCATTGTAACAACATCTGAGAAATATTTTCAGAACTAACAGTTTGCTGGACCATGTCATGCACGACACAGACTTTATGAAACACTCAGTGTTTTAGCAGAATCATCAAATTGTTTGGTGCTAACTTTTGTTTACTTGTTTGTACATACTAATTGTTTTCAGTGCATAGTTTTCCATAAATATTGAGAATTTATAATAAATTATTAAAATTTGTTAGTCCGGAACATCTTTCAATATATAAAATAACAATTGGATTAGTTGTTAAATGCTTGAAAATGGCCTCTGACCCTTTCCACCCCATCCCCATAATCAAGAGGCAGAGTGATTTAGGTGCTCATGACCCTCACCAAAATGGAGTGACCTCAACAAAAATCACAAGCATTTTACATAGGGTTTATCTCTAGAGGTTCAAAATACTTTGCTAATGCTTTATTATAAATAGTAAGGCATTATTTTATATTGCATTATTATATTCTAATGAAATCAGGTCTCTGTCTCTCTCTTTATAATGTATTGCATGTTGTACATTGAATGTGGAGATTACAACGCTATACTTCACAGTATCCTAGTAGGGAGTCAAACACATACACTCACACAAGAGCATGTGGGGGGTATTTTAAGTCTTTGAGGGTCATATTTGAGAGAGGGGCACTTCATTCTCATTGGTCTCTCTATGCCTCCCATTGGAGACAGGATCCTCAATATGCAAGAAGTGAAAACTAACCTGGGTACAATGTCAAGTGTCAAGAATAGAAAGGAGGTAAGTGAAGAGTTAAAGTGTAACTTTCTAATGAACTTAGGGTCAAAAGAATTTCACATAAATTTAGTTCATGTGGTCTGGAAAAATGCTATTGCATTGCAAATAAGGAAACAGAAAGCGACATATTGGAGAAAATTAGCAAATTAGAAATAAAAACTAAAAAGATTAGAAAAAATTAAATCAATGACATGTAATTATCTTTGGAAAGAACCGAAGAAAGAAATTGAAAGGGATAAAGAACATTACATAAGCCCTGGCCAGTTTGGCTCAGCGGTTGAGCGTCAGCCTGTGGACCAGAGAGTCCCGGGTTCGGTTCCTGCTAGGAGCACGTACCACACACATACACACACACACACAAATTACAAGTACTGAGTAAAAGTCTTTAGTTTTCTTGAACACAAATCTTTGGTGATTCACTCCTCATGTGGAAACATAATGTATATAAAAATAGGAAAAAATATCTCCATAATTTTTTGATGTTTTAAAAAGACTGATTTAAAAGAAAATGTAATTGGAAAAATACTTTAGATATTGAATCATAAAAACTAATGTAATTATATTGTGCATTAAACTTCCCATTTGCTTTTAGCTATAGTTACTTTTAAATTAATTGTGTTAGGAGGAAATAAGTGAGAAAATTGTACTCCTAAGTTAAAAACAACAACAACTTGTAAGCATCACACAAAGATCTTCAGGATTCAATTATCATATGAACCTCTTTTCTCTGGAATTCATTGGATAGAGTCCCTGCCAAGGCTGTTAGGAACTCTAAATGCCTGTGTAACACATTCAATAGTTTACATTATCTTTTTCTAGCTTTGTTTGTTGACTGGGGTTCAATACTTTCAATGTCCCAATTTACGGGATTTAGCTGGTGGAGAAATGCTGATAGAATCTCTGAGAGAAGAGTCAGTTCCTCTCCTGTGACCAAGTTCCTGGTTGATGGATGTTCTTTTATTTTTTCTCTTAGCAATCTTTCTGTCTTCCCATATGTATTCTCTACCACAAGGACTGCCACAGATGCCAGGTTTTACAGGCCATCTATCTTATCTTGCACTTAAACACAGACCTTTGTTTTGTCCCAGCAGTGTAGATTTCTAAGTCTTTGTTCTTGATCCTCTCTAAG